CAAATTCCCAGGGAACAGCGGGAGGATGAGCTCGAAGGAGGAGGTGATCCCAAATTCCCTGGCAGGAGGAGGTGACTCCAAATTCTCTGGTAGGAGGAGATGATCCCAAATTCCCTGGCAAGAGGAGATGATCCCAAATTCCCTGTCAGGAGGAGATGATCCCAAATTCCCTATCAGGAGGAGATGATCCCAAATTCCCTGTCAGGAGGAGATGATCCCAAATTCCCTGGCAAGAGGAGATGATCCCAAATTCCCTGTCAGGATGAAATGATCCCAAATTCCCTGTCAGGATGAAATGATCCCAAATTCCCCAGTAGGAGATGATCCCAAATTCCCTGGCAGGAGGTGATCCCAAATTCCCTATCAGGAGGAGATGATCCCAAATTCCCTGGCAAGAGGAGATGATCCCAAATTCCCTGGCAGGAGGTGATTCCAAATTCCCTTTTAGGAGGAGATGATCCCAAATTCCCTGGCAGGATGAAATGATCCCAAATTCCCCAGTAGGAGATGATCCCAAATTCCCTATCAGGAGGAGATGATCCCAAATTCCCTGTCAGGATGAGATGATCCCAAATTCCCCAGTAGGAGGTGATTCCAAATTCCCTGTTAGGAGGAGATGATCCCAAATTCCCTTTTAGGAGGAGATGATCCCAAATTCCCTGTTAGGAGGAGGTGATTCCAAATTCCCTGGCAAGAGGAGATGATCCCAAATTCCCTGTTAGGAGAAGATGATCCCAAATTCCCTGTCAGGAGGAGATGATCCCAAATTCCCTGTCAGGGGGAGATGATCCCAAATTCCCTGTTAGGAGGAGATGATCCCAAATTCCCTCAAATTCCCTGTCAGGAGGAGATGATCCCAAATTCCCTGGTAGGAGGAGAAGCAGAAGGAATTCTCAGCCCTTTGGAGCAGAGCACATTCCTCAGGCTGGGAAACTCAGCCTAAGTTAAGCCAGGCCTAACTCCAGTACCAAGCACCTGGGTTCTGATGGGCTCCACGTCGTTCTGTCCCAGGTGGAAATGAAATGGAAATGTCATTTAGTGTTCCCCCACCGATGGAAAAATGGGGATTTGACAGAGAAACCACTGCCAGGGTTAGCTGGAGAATTGTGAATATGGGTTGAAATGCAGACACTGAGTAAAGGCATTGAAGATGTTAAATAAAGGCATTGGAAACATTAAATAAAAGCTTTAAATACATTTTAAAAAAACATTAAAAACATTAAATAAAGGCATTAAAATACATGAAATAAAGTAAATAAAGGCACTAAAGACATTAAATAAAGGTGTTAAAATCCATTAAATAAAGACACTAAAGACATTAAATAAAGGTGTTAAAATATATTAAATAAAGGTGTTAGAATACATTAAATAAAGGCACTAAAGACATTAAATAAAGACACTAAAGACATTAAATAAAGATATTAAACACATTAAAGACATTACAGACATTAAATAAAGACATTAAACACATTAAATAAAGACATTACAGACATTAAATAAAGGCATTAAAGACATTAAATAAAGACACTAAAGATGTTAAGTAAAGATATTAAACACATTAAATAAAGACAATAAAGACATTGAATCACTCAAGGTAAAGGAAAGCTGCTCGAATAATTTAGAACAAAAACCTATTGTAGGCAAACCATTCTTTTGTGGCATCTTAAAACACCTTTTAAAATCGATCTGAGTGTTTCCTCTTTAAAACAAAACCTGAAACCTTGTAATTCTTTAAAAGAAATCAGCATTGGTTTGAGCTTTTCAGTAATCTCACCCAAAACGTTATTTAAATGTAGGTGTGAGCCAACCCTGCAGGAGCTAAAGAGGAGTAAAACACAAAATATATCTATTTTTTAAAATATATATATATATAAAATCTTCAGCTGTGTCACAGTGGGAGGCTCAGGGGAACCCGAGGTAGGGCTGGCTGCAAAAATCAATATTTACATTGCAACAGGAATAAACTGCACTTAACAAAACACCTTTTGCTCGACCCCTTTTGAACTCCCACACATTTTCCCCTGGCCCACGGCTCCATCCTGGAGTTGAGCTGTCCCAACAGCTGCTCCTCGGGGAGAGCTCCCCAGAGCTCTGATCTAGTCAATAAAAAATGGGCTTGGCTGAGCTCTGGAGCAGATCTGAGGCTGATGAATAAATCATGGCTGGCTGCAGGAATGCTGAAACGCTCGGAGCAGGGAAAGAGTCACTTCACAACCACAGAAAATCCACAAAGTACTTTCTGACCTTGGGAAAAAAAAAAAAAGTGTTTTTAGCATTTTTAATTTTTTTTTTTTAAATTTATTTATTTCCCCTGGGAAACTCCAAGCTTTTCAGTGGATTCCTTGATTAATTAACAAGCAGTATATATATATATTTTATTCTGGTGAAAGGCTTTGAGTGCAAGCTGTTAACCCAGTTTCTGTCAGGAGAGTAGAAGAAATTCTGCTCAACAACCAGCTGCTCCTCAGGATAATGAGCTCCAGACTCTGACATCCCAAACATGGAAATAAATTTCCCTCTCTGCTATGTTTTACATTAAGGAAATTCAGAATATTTGCTTTTCAGAGCATGTGTCTATCCTGAAAATAAACTGGGGGGTGATGTAAGGGGAAAAGCAGCACAGAGGTACAACAAGTTAACATTTCTGTCCCATATTTTGAACAGCTGTAATTCCCAAACCAAGGCAGGAATTTTAATACAGCTCCAACTGTGAGTAACAGGCGCTTTAAACAACACCATAAACAACTTACAGCGGGCTCAGGGAGCTGGAAACTCCCTGAAAATATCCCCTTGGGAAAAGCCAGCCCTGCTCCAACCCCTACTCCAACCAGAAATCAGCAAAAAGCAGCAGGTTTTTCTCAGTGGTGGCGTTTTTGGGTCAGATCTGTTGATTTTGAATCCCCTGAGTGTTGAACCCCTCTGCCCCAGGGCTGCTGCTCAAGAGGTGCACCCTGCTGCTGCCCACCAGGGACAGGCTCAAGTACGTGCACAAGGTGCTCGCAGGGGTAAGTGGGGGGCCAGCATGGATCGTTGTCTTTTCTATAGGTGTGGAATATATCTATATCTGTATCTGTATCTGTATCTGTATCTGTATCTGTATCTGTATCTGTATCTGTATCTCTATCTCTATCTCTATCTCTATCTATATCTCTATCTATATCTATATCTATATCTATATCTGTATAATCTATATCTATATATCTATATCTACCTATATCTATATATCTATATACCTATATACCTATATACCTATATATCTATATATCTATGTCTATATATCTATCTATATCAATATCTGTATCTATATATCTATATCTATGTCTGTATAATCTATATCTATATAGCTATATCTATATCTATATCTATGTCTGTATAATCTATATATCTATATCTATATCTATATATCTCTATATATCTATATACCTATATACCTATATACCTATATATCTATATATCTATATCTGCATCTATGTGTCTATATCTATATATCTATCTCTATCTATATCTATCTATCTATCTATCTATCTATCTATCTATATCTCTCTATATATCTATCTATATCTATATATCTATATCTACCTATATCTGTATATCTACATATCTATATGTCTACATATCTCTATATCTATATCTATATCTATGTCTGTATAATATATAGCTATATTTCTATATCTATATATCTATATCTCTATATCTATATCTATCTATATCTATCTATCTATCTATATATCTCTATATCTCTATATCTCTATATCTCTATATCTCTATATCTATATCTATATCTATATCTATATCTATATATCTACATATCTATATGTCTAACTCTATATATCTATATCTCTCTGTATCTCTATATCTATATCTGCATCTATGTGTCTATATCTCTATCTCTATCTCTATCTCTCTATCTATATATCTCTTTATCTCTATCTCTATGTATCTATATAACATATATAGAATATATTTATAGAATTGTATATATGTAATGTAAATATAAAAATATTCTAGATGATTATCTATAATAAATATATATTTAAATATCTATTGTATGTAATATATTATATATAAAAATATGTATAAAATCTAGTCTATTCTATTATATATTAATATATAATGTATATAAATATAATATATTATAATACATATTATTATATCTAGTGTAGATATTTATACATATATTTAATAGATATTATTATTTATATAGAATATATTATTTATATAATATATATGATATAATATATAATATAAAATCATATACATAATTTATTAAAATATAATAAAATGTATAGAATTTATATATTATATTATATTATATTATATTATATTATATTATATTATATTATATTATATTATATTATATTATATTATATTATATTATATTATATTATATTATATTATATTATATCTATAATATATTATTTTATATTATTTATATTATATTATATTATATTATATTATATCTATAATATATTATTTTATATTATATCTATAATATAATATATATTATATTATATTATATTATATTATATCTATTTTATATTATATTATATTATATTATATTATATTATATTATATTATATTATATTATATTATATTATATTATATTATATCTATAATATATTATTTTATATTATATCTATAATATAATATATATTATATTATAGATATTACATATTATATTACATATAAGATCTCACTTCCACAACATCCCCATAACCCCCACAGAGGAGAGGCAATCCTCCTGAACTCCTCTGCCTCCAGGAGCACGGAGAATTCCCAATCACAGCAATTAAATATCACTTAATTAATTATTATTTTTAATTTACACTCGCAGGTTTCCTGTTTCAAGCTGAATGGTTGTGCCAGCCCTCTGCACTGCCTGGGCTTGCAGTGCTATGGGGTGTTCTTACAGGTACAGTATCCCCACGGACACAAGGCAAGTAGCACCAATAAAAAAAGATAATTAAGGTGTTTTTCCTTAAATTCATCTGTCTTTTGAGAGACTTTTTAAAAATATAAACTGGTTTTTTTGGGTTTTTGGGGGTTTTTTGGGTGGTGTTTATTCACACGGTTCTCAGAGTTTTCTTTCTGGTGATGAAAAGTTGCTGATTTGGCTGCTGAGAATTCCTTGGCCTGCATTTCACTCCCAACCAGTCTGGGTTTTGATTAGCAATTTATTACCTAAATACAAAGGTAAAGTCTTCTCCCTAAGAAAACAGGGGAGAAAGGGAACATTGTATCACACAGCTCCAAATTCACACCTCAAGAGCAGAGATGCTTTAGTTTCCAGGGAAATTGTTCCACACATCAGAGCCCAGAGCAGTTTCTGCTTAAAATTAACGTAAAACAAATATAAAAATTAAAATCCTGTATTAGAAAAGCAGGTGATTATTGCTGCTGGGACATTTTATAGCAAATACCTTACACAGAGCAGTCACAAATCAGATTTTGGGACACTCTCAGCAGCTTTTGGGAGGCATCAGGCTGATGAATTCCTGCTTCCTAATTATTCAAATCACGTTAGAAAGTTTCTTTTCTGGCCAATTTCGGTATCAAGGCCTTAAGCACCACCTGAGGCAGGTGAAGGCTTCCCTGCCCTCCACTCAGGTATGAGCCTTCCTCCTCTCCATGGAGACTGCAGGGTAGATTGTGTTTATCTGCTGTCAGTGCTGGCTTGGGAATGGGATTCCTGCTCAATCTCCTCATTTTCCTTTTCTTGGGAAAGGAATTCCTGCTCAATTTAATTTTCCCTTTCCTTGGGAATGGGATTTCTGCTCAATCTCCTCATTTTCCTTTTCTTGGGAAAGGAATTCCTGCTCAATCTCATTTTCTCTTCCCTTGGGAATGGAATTTCTGCTCAATCTCATTTTCCTTTTCCTTGGGAACAGAATTCCTGCTCAATCTCATTTTCCCTTCCCTTGGGAACAGAATTACTGCTCAATCTAGTTTTTCCTTCCCATTGGGAACAGAATTCCTGCTCCATCTCCTCATTTTCCCTCCCCTCCAGATCCTGACCGCAGGCTGGGATGAGCTCGAGTGCCACCGGGTGTTCAATTTCCTCTGGGAGCTCAGCAATTTAGCCCGGAAGGTGCAGACGGTTGTCAGCAGCAAACCAGGTAACCCAGACAGCCCCAAAACCCCAAACCCCGGAATTCCAGAGGGCAGGAACAGCTCCAGAGAGCCCCAAACCCCGGAATTCCAGAGGGCAGGAACAGCTCCAGAGAGCCCCAAACCCCCAAACCCCGGAATTCCAGAGGGCAGGAGCAGCTCCAGAGAGCCCCAAACCCCGGAATTCCAGAGGGCAGGAACAGCTCCAGGCTGCTGCCAGCGGGATGTGGGTGGGACTGAGGCTCGGCTCGGCTCCTGACCCTGCTGGGAGCATCCTACAGCGAGTTCTGGGCCTTCACCCCCATAGACAGGGCTCCCCAGGAGCGGACAGGGGTGATTTTTGTCTCTGGTTTGTCTTGAGAGGCCTTCAGAGATTTTAAACCATTCCCTTGTCCGTTATCATCACTCGGATCTCTTCCTCAGTGAAGCGGATTTGAATCGTCCCTGCTCCACACCAGTGAAGTCAGTGGGAGATGGACCCAGTCAGGAATAAAATGAAACAGTAAAAAGTGAGGTTTAACATTTCTGAACCCAAACACGTGTGGGACAAACGCCTCTCAAGAAATCCTCCCATTTCCCAGCACAGGGAATTTCTGTGGAGCTGTCCACTCCTTTCACCTCCTGGAAAACCCCAGGCACCCAAACCCCCCGAGCTGAGAGCCCTGCAGGCTCCCAGCGGCTGCACCCACACATCCCCCACCCAAAACGGGGCAAAGCATCCAAAATTCAGCGAGCAGGAGGCGAAAACCTGAATGAAAAACATCAGGAAAATGCCCTTTCCCTTCCCTTTGGAGGGAGGCAGGCTGAGCCCAGCCCGTTTTCCCCAGGCAGCGCCCGGAGGCTGGAGCTGCGGATCCGCCTGTACTGCCGGGGGGTGCTGCTGTCACCCGGGAGCCACCGCAGCGACTGCGCCTTCTGGCTCACCCGTATCCTCAAACCCTGGCCCATGGTCAACCAGGCCCGCCTGCTCTACATCATCTTCGGGCCCGTGTCCTCCCGTGACGGTGAGAAAAGGGGGGCCCCGGGGGAGGAGATCCCCCCCAAAAATGTGATTTGGGGTCGCGGAGTTATGGGGTGGGTTGGGAGGGTGTGGCAGGGATATCTCCAGATGTGCCGGGCTGCTCCAGAC